CCGCAGCCCTCACAGCCATGCCCTCCCAGGGAGGCCGGGGCCGGTCCACTTAGCTTTTACTGCAAGCAGGGCTTTCCTATTGTTTTGATGACATCTCCCAGAAGCAACCTTTTTAGCATTCTGGGTAACGAAGTGGGAAGTACGCATATGTGCTTCTGCGGCAAACCCAAGTACACTGGTTGTCTTGAGAACCAGCACTTTTGGGGCGGCTGCACTGCAAACTCGGGGCTTTTTCCACACAGCATCATTTTGGTTTCAAAGAACTGGCAAACTGTGGTTTTTAAATTTTTTTCCCCCCTCCAGATTTGAGATTTGGCAGACGTTTTCTTGCAAATGAACTAAGCGAGCCCGTCATTTCAAGGAAAATTACCAACAATACAGCAATGATAACATTACGGCATCTAAAATGAAAAGCTAGGATCTCAGAACATATCTGTAACCCCTGGCTTGCAGCTCATGAGTTCTTTTTTTCTGATGTGACTGGTAATATTAACAGAAGTGATTTTTTTCCTATAGTATGATGAGATGGGTCAACATTTGGAAGAACCACATAAGTTGGTAAACCAGTGTTTTCCAAATGACCAGCATACGACATGCCTGGGTAAACCATTCAAAACTGAAAAGAGGTCAATGGATTTTAACAGTTTGAGAAGTTTATGGATATGGTTGCAGATTCCACATAGCAACTAATCTTTAAGAAACTACCATTTGTTGTGTTTTGGTAGTATTAAAGAAACACAACAATTATCTGAAAAGGCTATCAAAATATTCCTTCCTTTCCAATCACAAATGTGAGGGCAGATTTTCTTCATATGTTTCACCCAAAACAACACATGACAATGAATTATAGACAGAAACAGCTCTGAGAATCCAGCTGACTATTAAACCAGGCATAAGAAATTTGCAAAAGTTTAAACAATGTCACTTTTTGGTTTGGCAAAGAGTTACTTTTCATAAAAGTGTTATGTTAATAATATACATTAGGCTTACTGTTACTTTTAAATGAATACATACCATGTTTCCCTGAAAATAAGACCGGGTCTCATATCAATTTTTGCTCCAAAAGACGCATCAGGGCTTATTTTCAGGGGATGTCTTGTTTTTTTCATGTACAACAATCTACGTTTATTCACGTACAACAATCTACATTTATTCAAATACAGTCATGTCATCTTCTTCTGGAACCATCGTTGTAACTCTCCAAACCCTGAATTCCGGCCCGAGTTTCTTGCGACTCCAATTCCTGCAGAACCACTGGCCCCAATCTCTCATGTCCAGCAACAGAGCTTTCCTTAAATGAGCACTTCCTGTCCATGTAGCCTGCTCCTAATGCACTGGCAACACAGCGGTCAGTGATTTTATCCCATGACTTCTTCACACCCACGTCACGACCTCTTGCAGGCGAGGCTTCACCAAGTTTCCATGCTGATGTCTCTCCATTCTGTTTTCAATGTAGTCATTGATTTCCGTGCACAAATGGTCCTTGCGTGGCTTGTTTATTGCAATATCGAGTCTGGAGATAGGCAGTCATTCCTGCGGGAATCATTATTTGATCTATTCTTCTCTCTGCAAGGAAGTGCTTCATGTCCTCAGCGCAGTGAGTGCGTTGAATCCCAGGCTAGCAGACCTCTTCGGTCACCTCGCAAAGCCAAGTGACAGCATGAAACTGACCCACTTCCTTGTAACTGCTGTGTGCACCAGGCTTTTTCGGTTTTAAGGACATAAATGCCTGAAACACGTTCCAGCTTATCTTTCTCGCCCTTAGTGATGATTACAGGTGGGGCTTTCTTTCCATCCAGATGAACTGCCAAAAAACAGGTAACAGGTGCACTTTTGTAACCAGTGGAGGGAATGTAGATTGACAAGGCACCCCTCTGATCAACTGTAGAGATCCTTGGCCCATAAATACTGCAGTTTCATCCACAGCAATTATGTTGGAGAGCTGGTATTTAGAAAAGTCGATGCCATCAACAAAGGACTTTGAAGGCAAGTGCACATTTAATAACTGCAGTATCTTCCAGCTTGAACAGTGTTGTTGATCTTCTTGTCTACACACAGTTCATATCGCTGAAGGAAGTCATCCAGCCAGTGTTGGGATGCTTTGAATTCTTCTGGGGATATTTCTAACTGTGGTGCCATTGCAAGGGCAAATGCTTGAATATCAGCCCTGCGCACAACCAAAGCCTTTGCTCTCCTGTCAGCAACCCATTCACAGATGATGTCTTCCAGCTCAGGAAATAATGGTTGCCGACCTGATCCACACTTGCACTTCTTAGCATTTCCCTCGTCCACCTGTTGACTGAGGTTATCGTACCCTGCTCGCCATTTTCGGACCATTCGGAGATCCAAATTCTTCTCTTTACAGAAAGCTGTAAGATTCTTGCCCCGGGAGTCCTCCACGATTCCTTTCTTGTACTCGACGGAATAGCTCTTTCTTTTTGCACTCATCTTGTCTGGGGGTCAAAATATTATTCCCTTAAAATCTACCATTAAATCAAGTGTTAATTGAAGACTTACGAGACAGGAGTGGCAATAAAAATGGTGACAGTTAAGAACGATGGTCCACACAAAAGCGACGAAAAATTGCAGGCACCAAAATTCAGAAAACGTTTATTTCACACACGTACCTTAAGGACGTCTGTTACAACACACGACGTATTGAATTATGAAGATTCATATTAGACACAACCACATCCGTTCATTATCAAGTGTGCATGTTATTCGTGCGTTGTGTCTGTACTCCGATTGGTCATTCGGCAATTAAGTCTCGAGTTCATCTGTTTACATAAGCGTTTACCTCTTGTCCAAAGGTGCCCGCTTGGGTATTTACAAATACTTAATCATAATAATTTATATTATCATTTAAGTATTAATGTCAATATTATTTATTTATATTTACTTACATATTATTTTATAATTCAATACGTCCGTCGTGTGTTGCAATGGATGCACTAAATGCGTCTGTCTGGCTGACGATCCTAACTGGGGCTTATTTTGGGGGGTAGGGCTTATGTTACGAGCATCCAGAAAAATCATGCTAGGGCTTATTTTCTGGTTAGGTCTTATTTTCAGGGAAATACAGTATGTCCATTCCCGCCTCCCACTACGGCTGGGTCTGAGACACCATTTAGCCTACCTATGTCAGCTCTTCTTTTTCTTGGTAACAGGGCCTTCTCTTTGTGGCTGGGCATGTGGCCACACAGACTCAAGTCCTCCATCCCACAGCTAAGAGTGGCCAGGTGACTAAGTTCTGGCCAAGTGGGCATGAACCCGAGTGCTGTGTGTAACATATAGGATGTGCCGTTAAGGTGGCAGTAAGCTGTCTCGGGCCATGCCAACGAGAGTTCCATCCTTGGGATGTCAACCCAACAAAATAAGAGGCCGAGTCACTGAAACCGTGGGGCCAGCCACCTGGCTTAACTTGGACTGCATCACAGAGCAGAACCCCTTTGGTTTTAAGCCACCCGTAGCTGGATCTCACTATTCCACTAATCATAAGGGATGCTACTTCCAGTCACGCCCTGAAGGTAGGATGCTCCCAGACCTCTCTTCTACTTGCCACTGTTTACGAGATTCAGAAAACTGGACCAGTTGCACTGGACTCAGAGAAGGAGCCTAAGTATACCTCTTCTAGAGGAGCAACCGGTCTGCCCCACATCTGCATCTCCCCTGACTCAGCGAGCCCCACCAAGGACTGAGCCTTGACTTACACTTTCTGTACCCCCATCACGCTGTGTTATGCCGATAGAACATTATTCATCCAGCCCCTGCCTCCCTCTCTAGGGCCACCCTGGTGCTGCTGACATTTGGGGCCTGATAATTCTTCCTTGTAGGGCCTGTCCTGTGCACCGTAGGATTTTTGCAGCACCTCTGGCCCCCACTCAGTAGATGGCAGTAGCACCACCACCATTGAGAATGACTGGTCCTGATATCCTCAGGACAGAGTCACCCACTTCGAACTCCCCTAAACCGGCCATTGGTTTCTGTAAGAGCAAACAGACCAGTATCTTAACCCATACACCCTAGTACAGGGTCTCCACTAGAGGCCAAAGGTTGGCAACATTTTGTCAAGAGCCAGGTAGTAAAGATCTCAGTCTTTCTGCACCATACAGTCTCTCTAGCACGTACTGAATAACACCACTGTAGGGCCAAAGCAGCCACAGACGAGAGGTGGGCACGTGGGCATGACAGCAGGCTGGATTTGGCCCTGGGGCCGTAGTGAGCAGACCCTGCTTACAGAGCATGGCGGTCCTCTGCTCCCGCATCCTATTCCTGTGTTCTCAGCTCCTTAGAAGGCACCTTTAAGACACAACCTTACTGCTCTCATCCAAGGTTCCTATGGTCACAAGGCCTCCTGCAGCCCTCCCTCTGCCAACCTCTCCAACTTCATCTCATTCCCATTTTTAAAACCCCCCAAAAAACCCACTTATGATCTCAATACATGTCTGAGGGTCAGAACCGTAGGAGCAGACTAGCTGGTCAGTTTGGCTAAAGGTTTCTCGTGAGAGTATCAAGATGTTGGCTGGACCTGCCACATGGGACGGCTAGACAAGGGCTGGGGGTCTGCATTCAAGTTCTGCACCCTCTCTCCCCACTTTTGCTCCGTCCAAGCCTTTGCACTTGCTATTCCCTCTGCCTGGAATGCGTCCTTCTCCTGTTTGGTTATGCAGCTGTCGTTCACCCTTTAAGTCAAGCGTCTCTTCAGAAAAGCCTTTCATGACCAGCCTAGATCACATCCCTGCACTACAGGTTCTCTCAGTACTTTGTTCTCGCCTCCATCACAGTTACCATTTCCACCTGTTTCTGTCTTGTTAGTCCAGTGGGGTGAGCTGTGATCTAAGTCTCCTAAGGCAGAGGCTGTTTCTGTCCTACTCACCACTTGGTGCCCAAGCACTGAATTCATATCCATTTCCTTGGCGGAGGTTTTTTGTGTTTTTTGTTTTTTTTTTTTTAAGTTTGTTTTTAACACTCAAGTTTTAAGCAAATGAATGGATACCTACCGGTGTGGATTCTTAGATGGCGGTCCAAATCTTTCATGCCATGAACAGTTTTGAAGTGGCAACCTAGAAGAGAAAGAGAAAAAAAAACACAAAAAACAAAACCCCAGCTTTTCTTAAAATATAACCTCAGAAAGGAAGTTACTATGCATCTGAGGTTCTGGTCAGTTGCACGCTGAGCTCTGATGCCACGCGACGCTTAGAGCCCACAGGGTGCTCCTGTGTTGTGCGTGTACAAGAGGGTTGCAAGGATGTCGCGCGTGAAGTCCCACAGAGCTCGCGTGACTGTGCCTGGCGCCAAGAAGGGGCCCAGTGTGTGCAAGTTCATCCCTTACCTGGGTAGCAGCAGTTGAACGTCCTCTCTCCAAGGGTCATCGTTGGTTCCTTTGACTCGGAGGGGAGGGCCATGGCACAGGCTTTCTGGGCATCACTGCTATCAGCGGAGGAGGGGCAAATTGGTTTTGGAGCATTACTATCTAGTTCTGAAGCTGAAATTGAGACAAAAAGCAGCATTAATTTCTCAAATATAACCACTATGGCAAGTTCTATAACCTAGCAGGTTTATTTTACCTCCCTCCATTCACCACCTCTCCAGAAAAAACAACAACAACGAAACATTAAAAACTGAAAGCCACACACACTGTGGTCTTACCAGTGTCTTTCTTCCTCTACCAATTTCCAGGAAACACAGGGGACAAAAGAATACGGTAACATGACAGGGACACAAATGGCAAGGTCCAGACTGCAAAACTTCCCACTAACCTTTCTCAAAGACCTGGTTTGTAAGATCCTTTCCGATCCATCACAGGACAATTTTTTATAAGACAAAAATCAAAGCCCAGACGTTGTAATTAGATCTAACCGAGAGCTGGGTGTCATGGCAGTGTCGAGCTAGTTTTACTCTCAGCGCCTACTAATGCTTAGTCTGAACGTCTTTGGTCACACTTCAGTAACAAGTCACAGCCCCCCTTTGACCAATATTGCTCTCCTGGGCAAAACACAGGGTTTCCACAAACAAACTGGAGAAAGACAGAAGGAAAAACCAGAGACGAAAAGACTTGAGATGATGGTCTATGATAGCAGAGCCTTATTCAGATCCTGATTTAAACATATTGCAAGGGGCCGGCCAAGTGGCTCAGTTGGTTAAGAGCCTGAGCTCTGAGCAACAGGGTCGCCAGTTCAATTCCCACATGGGCAAGCGAGCTGCGCCCGAGCTGAGCTGCCGAAAGGCAGCCGGATGGCAACTGAACTTGGAGCTGAGCTAGCTGCACCCTCCACAACTGAGACTGAAGGACAACTTGGCTGTTCCCCTTCCCCAATTCCCCAATAAAATCTTAAACATATTGCAAAACCATTTAAGACGAGAAGATAGACACTGACAGTTGGATAAGGGATATTTGTTTTAAGATATGAAGATGAAATTAGAGTTTGTGTGTGTGTGTCTTCTTTGCTTCAAAATAATCCAGGGCAGGGGGACAGGTGTATTGCATAAACAGATTGGCCACCCACCACAGTCCTATGGCAGGTATGTGGGTACTCACTGTATTGTTCTCTCTACTGTTAGGAGGGTCAAACCATGAGAAATCACCATTTTCATGGGCCAAAATGGTCAGGTAATTTTATAGGGTTTAATCTAACATGTAGTCTAAAAGTTTTCTATAACAAAGACTAAGGACTCCTAAAAGATTATGAAGTGATTTCTTTCCAAATAGATGTAAGTCCAAGGGAAACAGAGGTGCTGTCAAGATCTGAAGTCTGCAAAAACAAACACACAGATAGTGACTATTTTATGAATTATAGGTCAAGGTCTAAGCCTTTTTGCTTGCCCCAGGTATAGAGGCTGGATTCCATTTTCCCTGGGGGTTTTCAAGGTAAAACTTGTATTATCTTGAAAAGCTGTATAGCACCTTGGTGAGGGCTTTGGTTCTGGGCATACAGTATACATAGCTATAATGCTAGCTGTGTGACTATCTGCAACTTACTGAACCTTTCTGAGCCTGTTTACTCATCTGTAAAAAGGGATCACTGACCTGCCTCAGTGTTGCAGAGCTGAGAGATGAACAATGTAAATTCTTAGTACAGTGGGTGGCCTGAGTTAGGAAAATGCTATCATAGGGCTTCAGTTAGAAAGGACTGTAACTGTCACATCTGAGTAGTTGTGGTATTCAAGGCCCCTTCACAGGCTCTGAACAAGTAACCCAGTCCTACAGCTCTCAACTGGGGGGCATTTTGTCCCCAGAGAACATTTGTGAATGTCATGATCATGTGTGCACATGTACGTGACAGTGGCATTTAGTGGGTGGAGGCCAGGGATATTGCTAAACATCCTACAGTGCATGGGACAGCCCCATACCTGGATTAGGACCATCTGAAACACGGGTCAAGTGTAATTTCCCAGGTGGGATGGTTATGGCAGATTCCAGGAACCTGGATTTTAAAGTACTCCCCGGGGTGACTAGTTAGCTCAATTGGTTAGAGCATGGTGCTGATAACATGAAGGTTGCTGGTTCCATCCCCGCAAGGTGTGAGCTGCGTCCTCCTTAAAAGTCAACTATGCCATTGTAGCATGAAAGCAGTGTGTAACCAATGACCATGGCTGTTCCCCAATAAAAAAATTTTTAAAAAAAGCGCTCCCCAAGTGGCTGTCATTACCCTAAACCTTTGCTACTCAAAGGGTGGTCTGCAGAGCACTGGTAACAGCACAACCACGAGCTTGTTAGAAATGCTGCAACTCGGACCCCATCTCACCTACAGAACCAACCTGTACTTTAACAAGATCCCCAGGTGATTCCTCTGCACATTAAAATCGAAGCCCAACTCCAAGCCCATGCCTAACACGTGTGCACCAGAATCACCTGGGGGGCTTGTTAAGACATGGGTGTGTGGGCCCCACCTCTCGAGTTCCTGATTCATTGGGTCTGGAGGGGAACCGGGGATTTTTCTAATAAGTTCCCAGCTGATGCTGCAGGTCTGGGGACTGCACTTTTGGGATGGCCGCTTTGTGAGAACAGAAACTGGCACGGAGGAGTCACTCAAGCAGCTTTCACCTGATCAGAACCCACACTTGCCAGATCTGAAGCCCTTCACGATGCCCCTCAGGAAAGCACAAACAAAACCTTGTACTACTTAGCAATTCACATATTAGGGAAGAAAGCTGTCCAACTCTTGAGGGTTTTAATCCCACAGAAACCAAGTAAGACCGAAAAGCGGAAATCTAAAGAGTAAGGTTGTAAAGCATGGTGGTTTAGGGAACTGACTTGGAAGCCAGCCACGTTTCAAATTCCAGTTCTACCCTTCATTAGCCGTGTGACCCTGGCTAAGTTACTCAACTTCCCTGTTCCTCAGTTTCCACATCTGTAAAATGGGGTGTATCACCCCTATCTCATGGGTTTACATGAAGATTAGATTCTTTAGCATCTGTAGAGGAACCTTGTACATAAGTTATCACTACATAAACGTTATCAGTTTTATTCACTGGTGTGTACACACGTGAACCCCCAGATTCTGGGAGAGGGAAATGCATTGTGCAATGCAAACTTGAATACAGGGAGAAGGGAGATCAATGGGTTAAAGCTATCAGAAAGCTGCCCAACGCTATAAAGGGTCACCCAGGTAGGATGTGATGGAGAGGCGAGAGAGGCATCCCAAGGAGATTTCCATCACGTATAAACCTCCAGGGAAGCCCACACTTTCCTGGGAAAGAGACAGCTGGGGCAGAGACCCCGGTCGCCTGAAAAGGGTGGGCGGGGTGCACCTTTAAGGGAACTCAGTTTAGCACAGTGGACATTTTAACCCTTTGAGAAGCAGCTGATATTCCTTTTGTGAGGTTGTTTTCCTGCCCATTTTTTTTTTTATTGGTGGTGAATAAAGTTTATCAATTGACCTGCTCCATTGTATTTCCTTCAAAAGCTATTTGAGTTGCAAAGCCATGTGCAAATTAAGAGTGGCCCAACCTTAGAAAATAAAGAAGGTGAGCGTCTTGCTTAGTATCACAGACCTAAAATGCAGGTGAAAAAAACCCACCGATCTGAAGGCTGCTTTTTCTCCATAGTGATGGCTGGTATTGAGGCACAGTTTGGGGCGTAATGCTGATTACGCCCTGCTCCCGTGGGGTGAGGGGACACCCCGGTACTGCACAATACAGAACACTCTCCCCAGCTCCTCCAAACACAGGGCGCGGCTCCAGGGCTAGCACTGTTTGCAGAAATAAAAAGTAGCCCATGGCACCCACTCTGAACAGCCTGGGGTAATTCAGGATTTGTCTTCTAGACTGGCTTCCCCATCAAAGATTCAACATCCCCAACAACTCCCCAATTCCTCTTTCAGAGGATCAGCAGGGGCCCTGGCCCCACCCCCAGAAAAGACTCTCCCCTTCCAACTACCTCTTCCCACTCTAGGCTTTGGGAACAACGGTAGCTTTGGTTTGAGTTATCCTAGTTCCATCCAGCCAAGGTTTAGTTTTAAATACAAACTATTAATTCAGGAGTGGCTTAACGTTTTTCGCCCCCCTCATCAACTACTTGGGAGGGTGTGGTCATCAAAGCCCTCAACGGGGACCTGCGCTGCTGGGAGAAGGGACCTGTCCTCGGCAGGAAAATGCTGGGAGAGGGGAAGACAGTGCATTTAAAACTCCTCTCCCCACTTCCTCGCTAAGAAAAAGGTATCGCCAACCCTCAGGGGAGGTAGAAGGTCAAGCAAGAACCTACAGGGTCTTAATCTGACTAAGATCAAAAGGGGAAGTGCTTTAGAAATGCAGATTCCTGGCCCCACCCCACCCCGAGATTCCAGGGGGTGGGGCGGGGTGGGGCGCCTGAGTGTAGCCTGTGAAACTTAACGAGTTAGCAAAGCCCCCTCCCCACAGACGTTTCAGAAGTAGTGGATTCACCGACTTTAGGATGAGAAATACTGCCCCTGAGGCCTTAGGGTAGCCGAGGGTATCTTCGCTTTTCGGGGAGCCCTCTAGCCACGTGGCAGCCGGGGTGAGCCTGCTAAGTCCCACGGTGGCATTGCCCTGCTCGACAACCCCTCCCGCTAATGGCTCCACTGGTCTTAGAGCAAAAGGCAAGTCCTTCACTGGAGCCCCAGGCGCCCACATCACCCCTAGGACCTCATCCGACCTGCTTGAGGCTCCAGCCCGCTGCCGCCCTAACCTCTGCACTCGCTGTTCTCTCTGCCAGGAATGCTCTGCCCCCACCGCGCGCATCTCCACTCACAACCTACAGGTTTTTACTCAACGGTGCCCTCCTCCGCGAGGCCTTCCCTGGGCAATACATTTGAAAGGGCCCCTGCCCCCCCAAGCCTCATTATCTTCCTCCCCCGCTTTTAGGATGTTTTCCCCCAGCGCTCACCACTAACCACAATATGCTTCGCCGCTTTATCTCCTGTGCCATCTCCCCCCCGCCCCGGTCTTAAAGCTCCGGGGCGGCCGGAATTTTGTCCTCCTTGCTCTCTGCTGGGTCCCCCTCTAGCACCTCGCCCCGGGACCCCC